ATAAAAGAAGAAACGAATTAAAAGAGGGAAAACAGGTTTCCTTCTATTTTGGTGAGGAAAAGGAGAGAAATCTACTTTATTTTATTCTCTTTTGAATTCAACAAACCAAACATAGGGTAAATGCTTGTCTGGAAGATACATCTAGGTCACCAAGAAAATAATATCAATGATAACCAGAAAAATAAAATGTTAGTCTCCATTTCTTGCTCATTTGAAGGATGGAAATTGGTTGGGATACCTACAAAGACCACTACACTGTACTAAATCCTACTCCGTATTATACTACCTCCATCCCTATTTAATAGAAATGAAACTGTGTGGTTGATTTTTGCAAATGAGCCAGAAATAATATGAACCACACACTTCTTTAATAGGAAAGATGGAAGATGAAAAGGGATAATGAGTATTTACATTATGGTTTACGATGTTTGATTAAAATTATTTTTTATTTTCTTTTTTTAATAAATGGAAAAAATTAAAAAAGAGAGGTGACATGACTATTATTCTATCAAATGATATATGAAAATATGTAAAGAAAAACGAAATAGTTTAACCACATGAATAGTAACTCTAAAGAGCTTATAGACAAGGAGTATGTTGAAATGGAAATAAGCCAGTAGTTCTTAATAATTCACACGACCAATATGCATGCACTATAAATTATCAACCGTGAAAGGAAAAGACAATAACTACAATCTTAATTCATCATAATCTCACAATAATTTCCATGCAAGTGAAATTGACATACAATGATAAATGATAATGGTTTTTGAATCTCATCTCATTACTGCTGAAGAAATTGTGACTAGAATGTCTATAACATCGCCACATATTTCTTCCCTTAAAAGGGACCAATTCTTTAGGACCAGCATAAATGGAAGAATGGCTAAGGTTTGGTGGTAGAAGATACTATAATAATACTTCTACATGTTCAATTCTATCAATTAGATTTGCGTAATCATATATATATATATATACACACAAACATATACATATACATACATATATATATATATATCATAAACACCTATGTATGAACTTTTTGACGATAAACATGCCTTACTTGTTAATTTAAAAATACCCCCTGTGTCCCACACTTAAATTAACGCTTTCCTTTTAAGGAAAGACTTTTTATGGTTCATTCATTATCCCTGCAAAGATCTATAACACACAATTTTACTTTTTCTTGAACTCCGAGAAAAAAACAAACGGGAACCTAAAGGTGCGACGAGAGGAGTACACATTGGTATCTAAACTAGAAAAAATATATAGTGAATTGATTTGATTGTATCACTTTTAAACCCACACCAAACCATAGTTCGTAAGGCGTCGCCTAGGCGATAAGGCGCTATCGCTTGGACGCCTAATCTGCTCGCCTCGCCCAAAAAACCTTAAGGCGTTCAGGCGCTCGCCTAGGCATGAGCATCTAAAGACAGACAAGCAGAGTAAACAGCAAGAGGCCAACAAACAACACAAATGAATACGCGAGTATGATACAAATGAATATGTTGCACCCTACATGCCAAAAATACAATGTTGCTTTTCTTTTTTTTAGTTTTTAAATAAAAGAAGTCAAATATAGTTCACTTTATACAGATGTCCCTCAAATGGGACCAACCAGTTTTGTCATATCATTTCAAATATGTGTGTGTGTGAGAGAAAGGGTGAATTATAAAAGGTAAAAGTTAATAGTGCTCAAATTAGATAAGCGAACATTGTTTTAGGATATGAATAAAAGAAATAGCAAACGTAATAAGGGTCAGAGGGAGTATAATTGTTTTAAAAGGGATCCAAGACATGAGTTAGACTAGATTGCGAAGACTGAGCAATAAAGAGAGAATGGTTAGAGGAAAAAAAAGAGTAGATGCATGATACTTGTCAAGTTATACCTCAAATGTTTTCATCAATTGATAGTGGAGAAAATGAAGTTGTGAGGATGAGTGTTGGTGCACCGATCTGCCCAGCTTTTTCCGATGGAGAAAATGCAGTGAACCCTACGAAGCAATTATATTGCTTCGATTTTATTTTCTTAGATATCGTTTGTCGTTTGCAACGTAAAGTACGGTTCCACCTCACACTGTAAATTCATCACTAGCATAAAATGTGTGGTTTCTCGCAAAGCTAAACAATACTAGCGCCACTTCCGTGAGCCCGTGACATGATATAGTAGGATTAGTAGCACACTAGTATCGTCACTTTACGTAGTTAAAAGAACACTATCAATATGTTTATGTTGTTGGCCATGTGTGTAGCAATTGTCCCATGGCGGAGGCTATGTGGGCCAAGTCATAGTCGAATGTCGTGGGCGCTTGTGTGTTGAATGCACTATAAGGCTAGGGTATGCGCCTCTTCTAATACCAATTGGTTTTAGAAGAGTTGGTAGCGACGATGACAACGAATTTGGACTTGTCATTAAGAAGTTCCACAAGTTCATGAAGAAGGAATTTGAGCGGAAGGGAAGGAAGCACGACGGCCCTCCCAAGTGCTACGGCTGTGGCGAGATTGGCCACATCAAGCCAAGATGTCCAAAAGCCAAACACGGCAAGGATAAGCCCGGCTTCAAGAAGCAAAGGGCTTACATCTCTTGGGGTGGCGATTCCGGTGACGAATCAACCGACCAAGAGGAGGACGAAGCTGCAAATCTTTGCCTCATGGCGCACGAAGATCAAAACGTCCAATAGGTATGTACCATTTCTTCCGACTCTTATACTTTTGAAGAAATGCAAGAAGCACTTCATGAACTTTATGAAGAATTTGTTAGCGCCTCTAAAACAAATAAATCTTTGAAGAAACGTCTTTCTACACTTGAAAACAATTTTGAAAAATTAGAAAAAGAAAATGAAATACTTAAACAAGAAAACAATTTTTTTGGAAAAAGAAGCGCTGACAAACCGGAAAGTTCATCAAGTGAATGTGGGTCTTGTAAAGCTTTAAAAGAGCAAGTCGCTAAACTTGAGAGCATGGTCAAGAAATTTAATACTCCTCACAAAGACTTAAATTTACTTGCACTTTTCTAAGGAAGGAATAGGTTTCAATAAAAATGAAGCTAAAGAAAATGTTGAGCCACCACCTAGACAATCATCTAAGGTTCAACATAAGAAACCTAAAAATAAAGATAATAGAAAACCTAGTCAACCTAAGGACACTAGACAACCTAGACTAAAACCTAGGAATGAAAATGGTCATGGTAGACAACCTAAGAAAAATGATTTTGTGCATAAAAATGAATTTTCTCAAATTAGAAGAAATAATGCTAGAGCACCTAGAAAAGGCCAGTTTCAAAATTTTCAAAAACCATTGTTTTCACAAAATAGGAACAAAATGGTTAAACCCTCTAACTATTATGAACCTAGGCACATGTACAACCCCAACGTAGTTTGCCATTATTGTAATAGGATAGGCCATATTGCTCTTGTTTGCTACACTAGGCATAGACACCTATCACAAAATCAAGCACACTACCATCACACACCTAACACCCGAGGACCCAACGTAAATTGGGTACCTAAAACCCATTGATGTGTTTCATAGGTATGCTTGAAGGCATCAAGTGTACTTTGGTACCTTGATAGCGGATGCTCCAAGCACATGACCGGGGATGCATCCAAGTTTTTCCAAATCAAACCTGCTAAAGGAGGAAACGTAGTTTTGGAGATAATAGCAAGGGAAAGATTATTGGCACTGGTTCGGTAGGTAAATCTGAAAACTCCTCTATAGATAATGTCTTGCTTGTTAAAGGTCTTAAACACAATCTCTTGAGCATAAGTCAATTATGTGACAAGGGAAACTGTGTGACCTTCGATTCAAAATCATGCACAGTAGAACGCCTTAGTGACAATAAGGTCATTCTACGAGGTGATAGAATCGATAACATATATATGGTTAACTTAGACAAATCTCCTTCCGGCTTTGCTAAGTGCCTCATGAGTAAAGAGGAAGACACTTGGTTATGGCACCGAAGGGTAGCTCATATGAACATGAACCTTTTGAATAAATTGGTTTCACAAGACTTAGTAATTGGCATTCCAAAACTTAAGTTTGAAAAAGACGCCATATGTGATGCATGTCAAAAGGGGAAGCAAGTTCGGGCTTCATTTAAGTCTAAGAACGTTGTTTCAACGTCTAGACCGCTTCAACTTTTGCACATGGATCTCTTTGGTCCATCTAGAACGAAAAGCTTTGGTGGCAATTACTTTGCGTTTGTGATTGTCGATGACTACTCTAGGTTTACATGGACCTTGTTTCTTACTCATAAAAGTGAAGCATTTCATGTTTTCAAAAATTTTCTAAAGAAAGTTCAAAATGAAAAAGATACAACCATAGTAGCCATAAGAAGCGACCATGGGGGAGAGTTCGAACGAAATCTGTTTTCAGATTTGTGTGACGAACTTGGCATTGATCATAACTACTCAGCCCCACGTACACCACAACAAAATGGAGTGGTGGAACGTAAAAATAGATGTCTCGAAGAGATGGCCAGAACTATGATCAATGAGGCAAAAATCCCTAAGTATTTTTGGGCGGATGCCGTGAGTACCGCGAGCTACGTGTTAAACCGAGCCGTCATTCGGCCGATACTCATGAAAACGCCCTATGAATTATACAAAGGGAGAAAGCCAAACCTTTCCCATCTTCGAGTCTTTGGTTGCAAATGTTTTATTCATAATAACGGCAAAGATAACTTGGGAAAATTTGATGCCAAGTCGGACGAAGGGATTTTTCTTGGTTATTCTCTTCGCAGCAAGGCCTATAGAGTGTTTAATAAACGTACTTTGACTATTGAGGAGTCCCCTCATGTTGT